CAGCGTGGATGTTTCATGGGTTGTCGATCCCCAAGTATTGTCCAGGAAATCGGGCACTGCATCTGGGCTTCACTCCAAGTCATGGTCAAACTTCGAGGAGTCGCTCTGAGCATCCGAGCGTGATTTGAGCATATCGATCAGCACCCAAGTCAACTTCTGAATCTTGAATGAGAATCAAGAATAATGATCACTGACTCTTGTATTCAAGAAGAGTCGAGACAGTTGTACGTTCCAGATTTCATTTGAAAGCCTGAATTGAGTCACGTTCAAGATCCACCGTTGACTCTGCTGAATGAAATCACTTATTCCCATGGTCAAAAAGTGGGTTGAGCGAAACGGTGTGTCACGTGATAAGTGGAGAATTGTCTGGCGCACGGATGTCTGTCTGGCGGCACACGCGCACCGCGTCAGCGCAACGCGCGAGCGCTGGTCGTACATCCATTTACACATGCATGCACTCGTGACTCTTGACTCGCGATTGGGGTCGATCCTCGTCTACCATTACCATACTTGTGTACTGTGCCATCATCTCAAGATACACGACAGCGCCATTCTTTGTCCTCAAGTTTGGACGAGCGTGTCTGTGTCTTCGAGCCTACATTGCGCGCCCTCTAGGTGATCAAGACGATTACCCAGCTGCCCTTGACGAGGCTCGACCTCGAGGTCGATTGCAAAGTGGACATATCCAGTTCTTCTTGACCCTCTACGGTCTCTCCGCTGTCCGATCCCTCGAACGTACGAGCGCACCTAAGCTGAACTGGTCGACTCTTGCTTCGTCGCGTTATTGTTTCATCGCCACTTTGACGACTCAAGATGGACTTTCGATCAATGATGCAGAATTTGGGTGGAGCAGGAGGGGGAGGAGCAGGCGGAGGTGGCGGATTACCAGGCGACACACCACAGAATGACAATGCGGAGAAGATCTACATTTCATCTTTGGCTCTCCTCAAGATGCTGAAGCACGGACGAGCAGGCGTTCCGATGGAAGTGATGGGATTGATGCTGGGAGAGTTCATCGATGATTATACGGTCACTGTGATCGATGTCTTTGCTATGCCTCAAAGCGGAACAGGAGTCAGCGTGGAAGCCGTTGATCCCGTCTTTCAGACCAAAATGCTGGACATGCTCAAACAGACCGGAAGACCGGAAATGGTCGTGGGTTGGTACCACTCCCATCCCGGTTTCGGTTGCTGGCTATCAAGCGTGGATATCAACACTCAACAATCATTTGAGCAGCTGAATCAGAGAGCTGTGGCGGTCGTAGTGGATCCCATTCAGAGTGTGCCTGGC